GACATAGCAGGGGAACCAGCTGAAAGTGGGTCGGGGAAGCCCCTGGTCAGAACAAAAATATCTTCAGCAACTGCTGTTGGTGATGGAAAGGGAAATGGAATTTTGTCTAAATATTATGTTGTTTTGAGAAGTCTGACTAATGTGAAAGTCCCTATTTAAAAAGGAGTTGACTCTACATTGAAATTGGTTGGCGTTTCCACACCCACATGTTGACTAAGGCCTTGAAAAACAAACTTCCTGGTAGATCCTGATTCAAGTCACCTGGGAGTGAATACTTCACGCTACAATCCATGAGCTGTGAGCAGAGGGGCAGAGCCAAGAAAAATCCTGTGTCTGTGTTTATGAAAAAGCAAACAGACCCCAAAAGGAGGCCTAAGTCTGAGTTGGCGGTGGGCACAGGCCCTCCAGGAAAGAACTCAGGGCTCAACGGAGGCCTGAGTGCAGCTTCTCTGGGACCCCACCCAGGTAGCCGTGTCGGAGCCATTCTCAGAAACGTGCAGAATGGCAAAGGGAAGAGGAGCAGGTCACAGCCTTCTCTGATTGAACATCCACTAACTTCTGTGTCACCCCATCCTCTTCAGCATGGCCATAGGAAGCACTTATTTATCAATATCACAACATCCCTGTGCCAGATACAGATAGGCCTGGGAATTTAAGTAGGGTGATCTCTGTCCCTGTTTATCCCAAAGAGTTTATTTATGACTCTGTCCCTGCATAGTTAATGATAGTTTTCTCTGTCTTCTAAAGTGTCCTCTTGAATGATAAATGACACGAACATCCTCATCATCAATCAGTGAGTTGCCCCAGCTCAGCCACTAGTGAGTGGCAGAGTTAGATTTCAAAACCAAGCTTTTTATCACTCAAAAAGCAGACCTAAAGGTCAGAGATTTAGCTCAGTAGCACAGTACCTGCCTGGCAAGCATGAGGTCCTGAGTTCAATTCCTGGTAACACTCCTCCCCCTGAGAAAAAAACAGACCATGAGGGGAGTTCTTCCTCATACCTAATGTCAAATATCTTATCTTATTTTATATTTTGGTATGGGGAATTGAACATAGGACCTTGTGCTTGCCAAGCAGGCACTTGTTCCACTGAGCTATATCTCCAGCCCCCCCAATGTCAAAGATCTTACGGAGCATGAGCCAAAAAGCCTGGCAGCCCTTTGGGAGTTGGTACCTGCTCTGCCTCCTCTCTGGGAACCCATGTGGCTGTCCCTGAGCGGGAAAGAACACAGCAGCCTCAGGGCTCAACATGAGGACACACATTTACCAGAAACCCCATTTCTGTATGTGTTGTTTCTGCTGAGGGGGCTTCTCCCAGTTTCTCTCCAATAATGTGGCAACCAGCTTCCCCACATGGGGCTGCCAGCCCAGCTCCTGAGCCCTAACTTCCATGCCCCTTGCTGAGCTTCCCTGCCTCTGCTTTTCTAGTTCTCGCTGCTGCAGTACTGACATAGTCCAAGCACCCTTTACCAGGAAAGACACTCAGGTCCAGAGAGGGCAAATGACTTTCCCACACTGAGTTGGTTCACAGTTTGGCTTGAGGCTGCTGGGCAGGAAAACACCTCCAGAAACACCCAGAGATGTCCTTTATGTGACAAGACTTGTTGGACATTGAGACCAAGATATCTGTTTGATCGTGCCCCTCAGCCCTCTGCTAAGGTCTCAGAGTTAGAGCAGGGCCTGCACTCAACCACCCAAAGAACACCCCGCCCTGCAGTGCCTACTGTCCTCAGACAACTGGCTGTTGGGAATCCCTTCCTTCCACAGAGTGGCCTGTGGTCTTGGTTCTTCCAGTGACCCAATGCAGGGCCAATACCCCTGCTTTACAGTAGTGGAAGACAAAGCTTGCTGTCCTTGTGATTGTACCTCACATGACACTGATTTGGAATCTGCATTTGGATTGCAGCCTTGGTGGACAAGCCTGAGGCTGAAGCCCTCCTGTGCCTTTGCCTCTTATGTGTCTTTGGCCAAGTCACAAAACCTCTCTGAATTTCAGTTTAATCATGATTAAATAGTACCTCTTTTCTTGCTTGCTTGCTTGCTTTCTCTTTCTTCGTTTCCCAAGAATTGAACTCAGGACCTCAGGCTTGCCAGACAGGTGCTGCGCCACTGAGCTGCATCCCTGGCCCTTCAAGCCAGGTGCTTGAAGTACTTCAAGCCTTTGATGATACAATGATATAATCCATATAACTGGCTGGATCCAGGGTCTGGCACAGTAAGCACTTGTCAAGGGGAACAATTTACATTTTTACTTTCCTTGAACCTCAAACTGTTTCTCTAATTGTAGCGCCAAAGTCTCAGCTTCTCTGGATGGCAGATCACAGGACATAACTTCTATCATCCACTAGAGCCACATCCTTTTCTGACAACCAGAGCTTCTGTGTCTCACCCCACTCTCCTCCATCCTGTCTTGTCTGCCTGTGTTTTGTCTGACACAGCAGCTCCCACATGATTCTTCATCCCATTAGAGGTTGCCTGTCTTTGATATGTGGGTTTTTTTTTTGGGGGGGGTAGTGGGAATCAAACCACCTCACACTTGCCAGGCAGGTGCTACGCCACTGAGCCATATCCCCAGCCTGGAGGTCACCTGTCTTTCTGGGCCACCAGAAACCTCTTTTGGGATCTGGATTTGGAAGCAGAGGGTGGGGACAATAACTGTGTGAAAGCTACAAAGGTTCACCCCCCCTTCCCCGCTCCAGGTTCTGCCTGCCTCTTTTCTTTCCCACGATGCAAATCCACAAAAGCCTTCCTGGCTGCCCAGCGAGGTGACCCCTTCAGGCCTGACCGACCATGCTGACATCCCACGGGCAAGTGTCTGTACAGCAGCCTTGTGCTGCTTTTGAAGCTCAGCAGAGTGAAGCATGACCCAAGTGAGCTGGACTGTGCTTTGCTAAAGCAGTGCCCACTGCCTCAGACTCCTCTCAGAAAAACCACCCAGTGGGGAGCACAGCTGGGCCAGGCTTTCCAGGGTGATTCCTCCAGCCCTTCTGCTGGCTTTGATTGCATGAAGTTAGGATGCGGGTGTTCAGAAAGATAGTAGACCCCAGTGGAAGCACTAAACCCAGGAGTGGCCCCTGCGAGAGAAGAGGTCAGACTGTGTGTCCTCAAGGGTCATGCCTGTCCTCTGGTTCTCTTTCCATCTCACCCAGCTTTTAGAGCACCTGAGGAAGAGTCCATCTTGTCCTGTTCATGCGCCTTCCTGGTCCTCTTCAAGTCTTCTGTTTCATTTCTTCCTTGCTTCCTATTAGTGTCTTTGGTCATTCATTCATTCATTCATTCATTCATTCATTCATTCATTCAAATTCATGTATTTGGTGCATGGGATTGAACCCATTCATAGGCCCATGCAAGCTAAACAAGAGCTCTGCCCTGAGCTACATCCCAGCCCAATGTCCTAGCTTGCGGTCTAACCCAGGGCCTCACACATGCCAGAGAGATGCTCGATCACTGAACTACAGCCTCAGCACCACCCCCTACTTTGAGACATAGTCTAAATATCCCTAGTTGGGCTCAAATTTACTATCCTCCTACCTCAGCCTCCCAGTGGCCCCATGTCTGGTTCATCTTAGCTTGCTTAGGACAAAATTCAAGCACGTTTTCTCCTTGTGAAACACCACAGCGAGTATCAGCTGACTTTTCTCTATGAACACCTCTAAGGATGGACCAGTTCTGAGCTTGTTCTCAAGAATTGGGAGCCACTGGGAGCACAGCCAAGTGGAATGTAGGGTCTCAGGGGTGAGAGCAGTGTTGCCGTGGAGACAGGAGCAGGGTTGGGGTGACAGCATTGGTAGGACAGGTGGCAGCATCCTTACTGCTGGCATCTGAGCAGCTTGGTAGAGGAGTCTTTCAAGCCTGGAGCTGAATCCTGGCTCTGTCCCTTGCTGGCTGTGTGAGATGTGCAAGTCGCACAAACTCTCTGAGTCAAGGTCTCTTCTGGAAATGCAGGGCACAATCACCCTCGGGGAGGGTTCGCATAACTGCTAACACAGTACCTAGGAGGCAGGGAGAAGAATAAGGCGGGGTTGGCCCATTGTTCCTTTGTATATTCAGCCAGGTTCTTTTATCAGACTTCAGTCAGGAAAACAGGTGACAAATTTATTATTAGAACATTGGCTTGGCTGCTGTAGCAAAGGCCAAGATAATGTTGCCTTTAATGAGGTGGTTATTTCTCTCACACACGCCAGTCCACATGGATGCAACACAGTGGGCGGGGCACTGGACACCTGTGGGCACCCAGACTCGCTCTCTGTAGCTACTCTGCCACCCTGATGCACAGCTTCTGTCTCAGAGCCTGAGATGGCTGCCCCAGCTCCTGCCATTGGGTTCAAATTCCAGCCAGTAGGAAGGGGACAGGTGGCAGAGGCCCCATTCTTCCCTACAAGGGCATGACTGGCACTTGCACACATCAGCACCTCTGAGGGTTTCAGGTCACTGGCCATTGGCCAGTGCTTCATGACATCCCAGCTGGCTTGGAGGGAGGCCAGGAAATGTAGTCTCAGTGACTCATAATAAGGGGAGACTTTGTCACCACCCTCAGGCATACTTCAAGATGTCAGGAGATATTTTTGGTTACAGAGAATGGTTGGTGATGAGGCCCAGGACGCTGCTAAGATCTAAGTGTATGGGACAGTCACTCACAAGAAAGGATCATGTAGCCTAGAATGTCAGATCTACCAAGGTGGAGAAAGCCTGCTCTTGCAGGGCAGTTGGAACTTGGGAGCTCTACCACAGCATGGAGAGAAGGGCCGCAAGGGACCACCAGCAATTTTGGCCTTAGTTATATACAGAATACGCTGAGAGTTGCATGATTGCGAAGGAATTAAAATGATACCTTTTCCCAGGGCTCTCTCTCTCCAGCAGGGATCAAAGCTCTAAGTCAACAGGCCTTTGTGGACTGCCGAGTATTATCTCACAAGACCAGGGATTGTGACTCAAAACCTCACCCCGTGGGTGGCCTGCCGGAGCCACCCAGGAGCCCAGGACCCACCTGCCTCCCAGGGAGACAGCTGTATGGATGGGCTTCCCGGCCTGGTCCTCAGCATGGCACTTTCTAGAACCAGCCCATTTTGCTTGGTTCTGTTTTTCAAAAAGGTGAAACTGGGGTGGGGCCAAAAGGAGGGTGAGAGACAGGAAGCTAACAGACTAAGCCATGGTAAGACCAGCCAGTAGAGAGGCGTAAGGATTTGGATCTACTTTTAAAGAATTATCTACCTTTGGGCCATCCTGCCTGGCCCTGGTGAGCCTCTTCTCACCCAAGTGTTAATCTGGCCGGACTTTCTCTAGCTAAGGCCTGGTGCATTCAAGCTGCTTGGGGTGCAGGCCAGGCCCCATCCCTAGCTGTAGAGTTTTGGGCATCTGCCACATTCCAGAACCATTCTTAGCACTTTATAGCTCTCATCACCTTTAATCTCTCCGTCAACCCCACGGAAAAGCTACTGTTATCCTCCTCCTGCAGAGGGTCAGATTCGCCCAAGGCCACACAACTGGTAAGATGCAGAGAGACAAGTTTCCGCCTCAGGAATGTCTGTTCTCCCCACAACCATCTCCTCATCTGGCGGAATGGCCAAATGTGGATCTAACCTATTGTTCAACGTCTCCCCCTCCAAGGAAGGAGATTCACCCCAAATCCATCACTTGCTCTACTGTCTCATCCCGGAAACAAGCATGGAGCCATGGATCAGTGCTGAAAGAACGGTGGGGTCTCCCTCCTGTCTGGATTCCAGTGGGGAACATGGAAGCCTAGAGGGGTCCAGGACTTGTTCAATGCCACAAGGCAAGTCAGAAAGTATCACAGAAGGCCTGGCTCCATCTGCTCCCACAAATAAACAGCCATGGTGCTGCAGACCCAGCTACCCTGAGGATTTTTCCAGGAGAGCTGCGATGTGAATCTGGGGAAGACATCCAGGAGAGCCTTCAAACAAGCGCAGGGGCCAGGGGTTTGATCTCTGGGCCAGCAGTGCTGGCCTCGTCCCCAGGGTGTGCTGAGACGGCAATTGAGACTGGGCAAGCCTGTAATCCCGGCTCTTGGGAGGCTGTAAACAGGGGGATCACTATGAATCTGATCTAGTAGTGAGACCCTGAACACCCTGTAGACCCTTCCCTAAAATACAAAAAAAAAAAAAAAAAAAAAAAAAAAAAAAAAAGACATCCAGGAGAGAAAAAAACTTCAGAGTTTCATAGCTGTGGGACCCCTGGGGGAGACATGGAGGAAAGCAGTGAGGGGAAAAAGGTTGTTTTTGCCAATGTGAAGGAAACAGCAATGATTGAAAGATGTACTCTGAATTCGTTGAACAGAAATGGCTCCCTTTTGGATAGGGCTTCTTAGAGCCACAACCACACCCATTGCCACAAGCCAGCATCTGTCAACAGGAAGCTGGGCCCAGGGAAGCATCTTGTGCTTCCTTGCAGGAAAGGTGACTGCTGAGGGCCAGTGGGAACCAGCAACAAGGGGCTGAGCCAATAGCCTAAGGAGCCCAGCCCAGGGGACGACCTTCACGCCTCAGGAAGGTGGTTGTGTCCAGCAGCCAGGACCTCAGATTTTCCCAGGCCAGGTCTACCACGAAGAGCCCTGAAATAGCCCTGAGATTCTGTGCCCACCAGGCAGGGAGGGCAGGGCGGGGACTGCGGGCAAAGGGAATGAGCACAGCGCCACTCTGTTGGAGGCAAGGAGCTCTGCCTCCATCGAGCTCATCCACCTGCAGGTGACGTGATGGGCAGAAGTGGTGGCTCTGGCCGTGGTCAGCAGAAAGAGGACATCTGCTTAGCTGTGCACACTGGTACAGTGACCTGAATCACAGGGGAAAGGACTGGATAATCCAAATGGCATTCTGCAAAATAATAGCTTGACTCAAAAAATATCAGGGTCATGGCGTCATTATTCACAATAGTCCCAAAGTAGAAACAACACAAGTGTCCACCAGTAGAGGAACAGACCAAAAAGCACGGTATTTTGACATGTGGTAGAATATGATGCAGCTATTAAGAAAGAAGTTCTGTTCCATCCCATAGCATGTATAAGCCCTGAAAACACTGACTAAAAGAAGTCAGATATAAATGACCATAGAACGTAAGACTCTCCATTTGTATGGAATGACTAGAATTTTAAAATCCATAGTGATAAAGTAGACTAGTTCTTTTTATGGGCAAGGTGGGCAGGGGCAAGAATGTGACTACAAACGCATAGGGTATTTCTTTTGAGGATGATGAGAATTTTCAAGATTAATGGTAATAATTGCATCACTTTGTAAATATACTTAAAAACCACTGGATGGTACTATATATATACATATATATATTTAATCTATTGGTTGTCTTTTGAGACAGGGTTTCACTATGTATTCAGGCAGACCTTAAACGCACTATGGAGCCCAGACTGGCCTTCAACTTGAAGTGATTCTCCTGCCTCAGCCTCCTGAGTCCTGGGATTACAGGGTTGCCCTCAGACCTGTACATTTTTTTTTTTTTTTTTTTAGAAGACGGCATACGAGATGTTGCGGCGTGACTGGAGTTCAGACGTGTGCTCTTCAGAGTCATGGTCTGAGCTCCAGGACTCAGGGCGTGGGGAAGGATAGAGATGAGGAGGGCTTTTTCCTTGCGGGACATTTTTTTTTTTTTTTTT